GAAAATGAAAATGAAAATGAAAATGAAATAAAATATTCAAATAGGAAAAAGAATGTCACTGCCAAATTGAGTCTATACAAGTTTTCTTTACATCCAAAATTAGTAAATAAGAACTTCAATGCCCCATAAAACTGGTGTGAACATTTTAATTTTGTACACATGACAAGATTTTACACCAAGCAGTCAGTTAAATAGTACAAATTTACATTGTGAGGAATGTTTAAAAAATGCAACTTAAAAAAATTCTTCTGCCCAAAACCCTACGCCTCCCCCCCAACATTTTACAGTGAAAAAACAAATTCAGTTCACATTCCTGCTTTATCCAAAACACAGGATAGTATTTGAGAGTGCATTTTACAATTCATCTTTTTCATCTGTGGACGCCTGCAAGAAACAAAGCATATATTAAGTTAAATCCTGTAGACGTGCAGAATCCCCAATAAATCACTTTTAGATATGTTCACACACACCCTTTTTTTTTGTACAGCATGGTTTAAAAATGGCAACTATCTCCTGCCTGTTGTCACTATGGCTTCTTCATGAGACAGAAATTTTACAGCTTCTAAGTTTTGAGGGAAGGAGAGTGACAGAGATCCAGCAAGTGCAAATTTATTATGACACTATTAAAAAGTTAAGCCACAGGTAAAAACAAGTGAACACAAGGCCCAGAATGGTAGTGCTGGTGGTAAATACTGTAATGCTTATTCTGAACTTCTGTCAGCTGATTATACAGATAGAAAAGATGGTACCTTATGATACCCTCCCCCAATTTTTCCTGACCACACTGACCGGTTTCTCTGTTTCACTGTCTTCAGTATCTTCCTCAGCTTCAATTTCCTCTTCTGGTTCTACTTCTTCAGCAGCTTCCTCTAGTTCTTCGGGCTCCTCTTCCACCTTTTAGAAATATTTAGCAAGACAAAACTTTATATAACATTATATTTGACACACACATACATGACTATGAAACCCCTATCAATACAAAGTATGTTTTAGATATCACTATACAACAAATAGGGCCATTGTTTCAAATATATTTCTTTACCAGATTCCTCAATGCCTTCAATAATGGCAGAACATAATTCCATTACT